TCCGAGTTGTCCAGCGAACTTGGCAATAGCAGCGAGAGACGTCCACGATCACGATACCGAACTCCAGGAACCGGAGGTCTTTGTTTCTATCACAGCAAATTCGGTGAGAGAGCCCACCGATGCCTTCAACCATGCACCTCCAACCCTACTACCAACCAGGAAAACTAGAGAGACTGTCATCACCAGTCAAGACAGATGGCGAGAGCAGTCATCATGTTCCATCCAACAACGAGTATCACGAGCAAAAACTATTACTGTCGGAATATAAACTTTACGCATCAATACACCTTCATCATCGGCGACGTTCAATATGCCATCATTGGGGCTGACTTCATCGTACGCTATGACCTACTGATAGACCTAAAAAACATAGACTCATTGCCCGTTAACATCACTTGCTACGATGGGAGAACTTGCTGAAACCACGGAATATGGTATTTCGACCGTGAACCAGCAAGCCCTTTTCAACAACCATACCGATAACATGTATGTCGAGCTTTTAAACCGTTTTATTCATATCACCAAGCCCAGTGTCACATTTCCCTCTCCTAGCATAGCTGACGTGCCTCACCACATTGTCACCACGGGCCCTCCTGTAGTTGAACGATTTTAAACAATCGATCTTACTCCTGCACATCATCAGATTCCTGCGGCTCCTGTGAAGACATCGGGAAGACAACAGTCATAACACCTTTCGTTTTTTTGAGTTCCTGGGAATGCCGCCGGGACTACGCAATGCACCCCAAACCTTTCAGCGGCACATGGATAATATCTTAAGAGGTTTGGACTTCTTTGGCTGTTTCATTGATGACCTCATAACGGCTACTGAAACCTATGAGGAACATCTCCAGCGGATTTTCAACGTACTACGCGCCAACAATCCCACTATGAATTCCAGTAAATGCAATTCCGTAAAAGAAGAGGTGATATACCTTGGTTATAAAATTAAAAGGGACGGATCCAAATCTCCAGCTGAACACGTTGATACGATCCTGTCACCTCTCTCTCTCACAACTGATGCATCCGAATCAGCTACAGACGCATAGTTAGAGCAGTTCGAGGATAGCATCTGGAAACCAATTGGAGTTTTCTGAAGAAAGCTCAGCCCCACCGAGATGAGTACAGCAGCGACGACAGAGAGCTGTTAGCATATTTGCAGCTATTAATTTTTTCCGACACATACTAGAGGGACGCCACTTTATCATTAAAACGGATCACAAACCCTTAACCTACGCTTTCGCCCAGAGAGCCAGCAGAGCTTTACCACGACAGCTAAAGCAGCTCGATTACATCTTCCAGTTCACCATGGAGATGTTGTTGTTGTTATAACGATTACCAGTCCCCGTTGGGATGGTGAGGGTTATCAGTGTTGTCGTCGATRTCATCTAACGGGAGGCCCAGGAAACGTGCTGTTTCGACGGGGTCGGACCAAAGGGAAAGGGGTGTTAGATGGGTGGGGTTGGTTGGGCATGCAAAGAGGTGGYCAGTGTCATGCGGAGACTCGTTGCATGCAGGACATGCGTTGGGTATGTCAGGGTCTATTCTGGATAAGTAGGAGTTTAGCCTGCTACAATATCCAGAACGAAG